AACCAAATTCTGAAACTCTATAATTAAACAAATAAATAATGATAAATTCAATTCTAAGAGTTACAGACGTGCTATCATCCAAATGCACATCCTTGCCCATTGAAAATCTATTTCCTTTTCTCTTTGTAGCAGAAAATTAAGTCGTTATTACACAATCAAAAGACTCTGTAAACCAAATAAGCAATTTTGCTTTGTGCCGAACATCATAAATTATAAGGAAATATGACCATGGCCACACAGTAACATCACTACCAATATACCTCATAATTATTTTAGAATAGAACTAATTAAAACACGAAACACATTCAGCCACAAAACTACAGACACCCATCCTTCTCTATAGGGACGGAAAGGTCACCTTTCGCTCATGAGCTCGTCGGAGACCTTCTGCTCCTCGAAGTCCATTCTGTCCTTGGCCTGGCTCAGCTCCTCACTGTCCAAAACGACCCCTTCGTCCTGGAGTTTGGGTCCCGGCCGAATGATCCTCAGCTTCCTCTTTTTGACTTTGCTCTTAGTGAACTCCTGGTACTGGTAAGCTCGGTCGTTGTCCATGTCCTGGTCCCTGCCGCCGTCGGGGGGCTGGGTCATGGTCCGCTTGCCGCAGACGTCCTGGGGCAGGTCCAGGGCCATGCGCTTCACCTTCCTCCTGCGGCGCAGGCTCCTGCTCCCCAGGGGGTCGGCCGCCGGGTCCCCCTCGTGCCACAGGGGCCTTTTCCCTCGCACGTTACTGTTCAGGTTCGAGGACGGCCTGCGCTTGGCCACCAACATCTGGTCGTCGGAGTCGCTGTGGTCCTTTTTGTGGCCGGCGGGGTTCTCTCTGTAGTCCTTGCCCGGCTCGTCCACACTGGAATCGGAGCCCTCGCTGACGCAGTGCCCGGCCTCCCAGGGGTGGTGAACGTTGTGGGACCGCCGCTTCCTCCCTCTCCTCTTCCTGGCCTGGCGCTTCAGGGGGCAGGACAGGCTCCGAGCGTGGTCCCCCGTCTCGGCGAAGCCGCCCCGGGCCTGCTCCGAGCTCTCCTCCAACGCGGAGACCAGGTCGTGCACCAGCTCCTCCATGGTCCGGCTGAAATGCCTGCGGGTGCCAAAGACAGAGGCTGTCAGGGACACAGGCAGCGACAACCACCGGAGCTGGCTGATGACAGCCGACGGTCCCTCCAAGTCCGACCAAAACTAACAAAGATACATTTAAAAGCTATTTAATCTTCCTTCCCAAGAGATTAGTTTCAAATAGTCTGACTCATTTTAGGCTCCTTTCTCTTGTGTATGTTATTTTACTAAACACAGGAATTACATCAAGATAGAGTGAGCATATATCAGCAATGAAAGGTCTTGGTAGTTTTATATTTTTACTGGGTAATTATGGAGAAGTTATTTCTGCTTCAAAAGCTGTTCTTTAGTCTACCCCTGTCCTTTTTCCAGATCAGATACAGAGAGGACTTTCTCAGTCCCCCACCCACTTCTTCAGAAGCATACAATCCTCTACTCACCACACGCCCTACAGTCACGGCCACCATAAGCCAGGTAGAAGAAAGACGGAGGGGCCCTCTGAGATTGATTCGTAGTATGTGTGAAGTTTAATCAAATGCAAGGCACCTATTTACACCACACTAGTCTCATAACCCAAGGACACAGAAACTACGTTCAAATTCAACTGGAGCCTCACTGTTATAAAATGGCCCATGGTTTTTCTTAGGGTTCGCCTGAAGCAGTCTCTTGGCCTTTTTTTTTGTAAATAAAAGTAAGCAGAGACCACTGAACTATGTTACCAGTGAGAAAATGATCCACTGGTCAGCAAGGATAAACATCAGTTTTCTTTGGGAACTTGTATAAATTACACTGGTCCTTCCCGAACCCAATTCTCAATGATTCTAAATCAGGTGAATTGATAGAGGGCCTAGGATTCTGATTTTATTCTTTAAACATTATAGGTAATTCAAACATGCACTTTTCTCATGAAGATCATGAACAATCGTTTCTCAAACTGCATTCTAGAAGCACTTAGGGATCAAAATATTCCAATTACAGAGGATTATATAATCTCCAGTCTATAGCAGGGGTAGGCACACTTTTCTATAAAGGGCTGACAGTAAACACTTTAGGCTCTGCCGGTCCCTGGGTCTTAACGTGCCTTAGGCAATACATAAATGAATGGGTGTGGCTGTGTTCTAATTACACTTTATTAACAAAACCAAGTGAGGGCAGGCCATAGAAGACAGGCCATAGTTTGCTGACTCTGGCTTTATATATGCTCTTTGGTCTCTAATTTCAGACATTTGCAAGCTCCCTACAACAACTTTCAACTTTATCTTTTCATTTTAACAATCACCTGAAGACAAACATGTTGTGATTCAACTGGATCTACCACTTATGAGGCAACGCAGGAGTCATAGCTTCTGACCCTTGAGTACTTACTCTGTGCCAAGCCCACGTCTAAGTGTTTCATATGCGTTACCTGGTTTCCCTCTCACAAAATAGCCCTATAAGGTGGCAGATGAAACACAGAGAGACAGAGATTAGGGGCAGCTTGCCCCAAAGAGGCATATCTAGGAAGTGGTAGAGACAGATGCAAACTCTGGCAATCTGGTTCGAGCCCAATGATAGCCAGAAACCAGCTATATGATTCCAGTGTCCAGCTTGCATTTTTGCTTATGATTGAGTTAGTGGCAGGTGGTACTATTTTAATTGCTGAGACAAACTGGATATACATCTATGTAAAGCGAAATGAACCACACTTAGGCATTACACATGGTAATGCCTCAATATGCATTGAATATATACTCTGAATTCCTAGTCTAGCAATGAGAATGAAGATAATTAAATATTTGTAAAATATACTGGAATCATACTGCAAATATGACAGTTGGGAAAGTTACTTAAACTATATTTGCCCCTCTCACTATCTCTAAAATGAAAAAATATATATCTATATCTATATATATCTATATATATACACACACTACCTCAAAAGATTTTACATAAGATGAATGATATGTATGTAAAACAATTCAAGTAACAATTTAGTAGTAGCATCCCCAGGGGCACTAGGATTTCACTGCTGGGGTGAAACTTACATGCTTAGTATAGTAAATGTCCCATCAATGAAATGGTGAATGACAGGATGGCTGTACAGATAAACTAGAAAATAAAAGTTCCAGTTGGCTGGAACACATTCATTCTGCCAAATCAGGCATGACCTTAAGACTTTCGTTCACACACAGATTAGCTCAGTTGGTTAGGGCATAGTCCCCACACACCCAGGTTGAGGGTTTGATCCGGGGTCAGGGTACACGCAAGAATCAACCAATGAATGCACAGACAAGTGAAACAGCAGATCAATGTTCCTCTCTCTCCCCCGCCCTTCCTCTCCCTCTCTAAGGTCAACAAATGGAAGAAAAAAAAACTGATTAAGTGCTAGGCTTGCACTCTTTTACAGTCTGGTGTCCTAAGTGCGAGTTATATGCTGCCAAATGCAAAGAGGACAGGCTCTTTAAAAGAGAATTGTATTATAAAGATAAATCTAATCATGATTTAGACAGAAGGTGGAAGGAAGAGGAAGGAGTTGAAAGAGTCACATTTTTTAAATTGAAGAATTACCTGCACTACAAATCAGTACAGCCATGGCCAGAGTAGACCAGTCTACATAGCACATTTTGTCTCCCGCCCTGAACAAGATATTGAACAGTGAAACATTAAGAAAGGTACCGCGGAGAGGGAACTCCCGGGTGATGCAAATGTCTCATATCTTGTTTGGTGTGGTGGTCACAAGGTGTATCCATTGCCAAAACAAAAAATATACTACACACTTAAGAAACACGTTTTATCCAATAGTAATCACATCACCATTTCTTAAAAAAAATGTGCTCCCTTGCTTTTTCTGAATGCAAAATGCGAGAGTTTAAAAGGAGCATATCCAGTCTATACTCATGATAAAGTGAACTACAGAGTGACCTGATCGCTTTCAAAACATTTCAGACAAGATACTCTTTTAACTTTCCAGAGAAGGGATTGATGCGAAATAACTTCCTTGAGATCACAGACTACCTGGAATCCCATGTGTTGTGTTCTCATCTGCTGCAGAATCTAGGAATGGAGATATATATATATGTGTATATATATGTGTGTGTGTGTGTGTGTGTGTATATATATATATATATATATTTATATGTGTATATGTGTATATATATATAAAATGTATGATGAACAATTTATTCTTTTTCTATTCTCATCATTGAGTGATTAAATTAGAATTAAAGAATGTGGAGCAGACATGAAAACATCCCCAAAGCTGTANGGGTGGTCAGAGGAACATCTGTTTTGTTTCCCTGCAGGCCCCGGGTATGCCTGGAGGAAAGGAGCCTGGGAGGAAACAGGCCAGGCCTTGGAGTTTCCAACCAGAAATCCATCATCACCCAGCTCCCAGCTCCCACCAAAAAAAAAGAGGTGCGATCATCCGCCACGGGCCGTCCTCGAGCATAGAGTGAAAGTGAAGGCGCCTGGACGAGGGGCAGCGGCCGCGTCCCTCCAGGGCGGTGCCCCGCGGGCCCTCTGCGGGGGCAGCGCCCCCAGGCCTCGGCCCTGCGCTCTCGGGGGACTCCGTGCCCATCGCGCTTGCCCGGCATGGGACGATCAAAGGGCATGAACAGGTGGGTTACTCCCGCTCCCCCCCCACCCCCCCAAAAAAGGGGTGGGGGTGGCGGGGAGCGGCAGGTCGCTTCCGTGCCTAACTTGCAGAACTCTCGCTCCCTGGCCCGCGATCCAGGCAGTTTTTTAAAGCGGTAAATGCGGGGGTCGGGCCTGGCCTCGGAACCAGGCTCCCCGTCCCTCATCCTGCCCACGGGGGACCCCGGGGGTCCGCAAACCCCGCGCCCCAAACACCAGGCGGGCCCCGCGCCCAGTGAGCCCCCCAGAGCTCTCTCGCACGCGCGTCCGCGCCTCCCTCGGATCGCGCGCTCCCCGGCCCGCGTGGGAGGCGGCCAGGCCCCAGTGGGAGGCGGCCAGGCCCGCGTTCCGAGCATCCGCCACCCCCCCCTCAAGGTGAGGCGGCCCGCGG